GCCCAAAAGCACAAGCAGCAAAAGAAAAAATAAACAAATGGGACTATATCAAACTAAAAAAGCTTCTGCATAGCAAACAATCAACAGAGTGAAATGACACCCTACAGAGTGGGAAAACATTTTTGCTAACTATGCATCTGATAAGGGGTTTATATCTGTAATATACAAGGAACTCAAACAATTGCACAGTAAAAAACCAAATAACCCAATTAAAAAATGGGTAAAAGAGCTGAATAGATATTTTTCAAAGGAAGATACACAAATGGCCAACAGGTACATGAAAAAATGCTCAACATCACTAGTCATCAGGGAAATGCAAATTAAAACTACATTGAGATACCACCTCACCCCAGTTAGACTGGCTATAATCAAAAAGATGGTGACTAACAATTAATTGTTGGTGAGGGTATGGAGAGAAGGGAACACTCCTACACTGTTGGTGGGACTGTAAATTAGTACAACCACTATGGAAAACGGTATGGAGGTTTCTCAAACAACTACAGATAGACCTTCCATACGATCCAGCCATCCCACTTCTGGAAATCATCATGTCAGAGGGATACCTTCACTCCCATGTTCATTGCAGTTCTGTTTACAATAGTCAAGACATGGAACCAAACTAAATGTCCATTAATGGATGATTGGATAAGGAAACTGTGGTATATATACACTATGGAATAATACTCTGCCATAAAAAAGAATGAAATTCTCCCATTTGCAGCAACATGGATGAGCTTGGAGAAACTTATGTAGAGTGAAATAAGCAAAGCACAGAGGGATAAATACTGCATATACTCACTCATGTGTGGGAACTAAGAGAGAAAAAAGGAAGAAAAGAAAGACCACAGTAGTCCGTTAGACTTGCAGAGGGAGAGAACATTCCCTGGGCTACAAAGTGGAGTGGGGGGGAAGGGAGAGGGGCAGAGAGATCGGGGATAATTGGGTGGGGGACACAGGGTACAAATGCAATTTGTGGTAATGGGTATGCTGCCAGTATGAATCTGGCCTTTACATCTTGGGCACAAGGAGTGACAATCAGCTTTGTATCTCATGAATATTCATAGCCATTAAAAAAAAAGAAAGAGAAAATTACAGAAATAAACAATTCATAAGTTTTAAATTGTGTGCCCTTTTTTTTGGTGGCTGGCTGGTATGGGGATCCGAACCTTTGACCTTGGTGTTATGAGGCTGTGCTCTAACTAATGGAGCTATCCGACTAGCCCAATTGTGTGCTGCTCTGATTAGCAGGATGAAATTTCATGCCACCTGGTTCTGTCTGACCTGCGTTGTGAATCATCCCTTTGTCCATCTCATACACGCTGTATACGCTACCTGCCTGTCATCTCAGTTATCAGATTAACTGTTGTAATATCCCAGGGCTTTGTGTTCAGGTAGCCCTTATTTTACTTAATAATGGCTCCAAAGTGCAAGAGTAGTGATGCTGCCATATTGTTATAATTGTTCTATTTTATCATAGTTATTGTTGTTAATCTCTTACTATGCCTATTTTATTTTATTTATTTTTATTTATTTTTGTCCATCTGTATTTTATTTTATTTATTTTTTTTGTCTATCATAGTATTTAGTTATTTTATTTTATTATTATTATTTTTTTTTACTTTTTATTTTGTCAATATACAATGTAGTTGATTATTATGTCCCATCANAATTGAATATCTTCTTTGCTGTATATACAGAGGTTCTAGGTGAAGAGACTTTATTTTTAAAACTGGTTTAAGTTTTAAAATATATTGTTTCTTATATATATCATAGTTTGGTTTAAAGGTATATAATCTACAACTAAGTATAATTCAAAATCTAAGCTCTAAAATCTTTTCTTATATGTGTATATTATAGAAAATGTTCTTTAAAATTATCTTGACTTTTTGAAAAAAAAAATTCTGCATCATATAATTATCTGTGTCATTTTATTTTGGACCACAGTGGACTATAATGAACTTATGTCTAGCTCTGCATTTGTTTACAAAGGATTACTAGACTTTTGTTGGTAGAGTTAGGTTTAGCAGCATGTTGATGTGTGTTAGTCTGAGAGACATTTCATGTGAGAATAATAGTACCATTT